AGCTATGGCTTTTTATATTAATCTTAAGTAAACAGCTATGTTTTATGTTAGTGGTGGTACTATGCTGTGGTATTGTGTACTTTAAAAATCCTTCGACAAAGGATATTTCAATGCTGAAAAACCTTCAAATTGATCATCTAGGCCTTGAGATGTATGGATATGAAAAAAAAATAGAATTTAAAGTCCTGAAAATAATGCGTCTTGTAACATATTATCTAAACCGTATACGTACAAAGTTTTTAATTGTTTATAGCTCTTCTCTATGTACACTATTTTTAAAGCTTTAAATTCCATAATCGGGGTGAATAGATTTTCATTTCATCACATGGTTTTTCGCATCGAAATCTACATATTTGGGTATAGTTTAGAGGTGCATCATATTTTGATTATTTATTGTTGATGTCTTACACAAACCCCAACATAGAGATTTAGATAGAATCAATATGTAAGACCTGATGAAATCCACCCAAACTCGGTCAAGTTGATCGGCCTTGCCTTCTGGACAAGGCAAAATATGGTGACCAACTCACTAGACAACAAGAAAAAAAAATAGAAATTATGCAAAAAAGTTAAAAAGATATTTAAAATATATTTTTAGTTGATTTTAATGGTTTTTAAAATTTTAACATTTTATATAAAATTAATAGCTTTCAAAATAAATATTAGGAAATGATTAATGTTACTATGTTATATAAATTATAAAGTTATGTTAGGGTGCTCACACTATAGAGTATTGTACTCAACAAATTTTGGACGCGTATATACCATTGTTTTGTATATGGAGTATTTTTTTTAGAGAGTATTATTGGTTATTAGGAGGGGCGTGACATTAACCATATGGGGTGTGACATCGCTCACATGAAGCATTAAGTGTAACTAACAACCAAAAATATCCTTACTAAAAAAATGCTTCATGTATAAACCTAGAGCCTATATCCAAAATTTGTTGACTAGAATTATAAATTGCTCTATAGTGTGAGCACCCTAACATAACCCTAGATTATAAGGAAAACGTTTATACAAGGATGCTACCTTATAATGTAGAACTACGAATGCCCCTCAAAAATCTATCGGACAAGGTAGTTTTAATGTTGAACACCCTTTGATTGATCATCGAGATGTATGACTATGAAAAATAAAAAGATTTTAAGTCTCAGAAATAGTGCATTTTACAACATATTGTCTACACTGTCCATTTTCAAGATTTTGATATTTTTATAGGTCTAATTGATTTTAACCATTTTTGAAATTTAAAATTTTATAATTAGATATAAAAATAGATTTTGAGATAATCCTAAAAACATTTCCCATCAAAATTATATACCATGATAAAATTTGAAGGTGTACCTTACCTCTACACCTACGGATATATCCGTATGCAAACTGCACCCAAATTATAATAATAATATTCTATAGTTACAATCTTCATATTTGATATTTACCGTTTATTATTGTTGTTATAATTATTATTATTATAAATATTCATTATTTGGTCATATTTTAAATATTTTTTATTGAATAACATCAAGATTATTATTATTTTATTATAATATGATATTCTAATAAAATAATAGTATAGTATAATAATACCATAGGATGTCGTTATATTGTTATCATAATATTATTATATTTCACATAATATCATTATATTGTTATCATAATATTATTTTATTATATTAACATTTATTAATATTAAGTATTGTCTATTTTTATTATCATTTTAATATTATATATTATATTAATATTAACAAAATGATATTGTATGTATTTGATATGTTTAATATGAAATACCATCAACATCATTAATTTTATTATTATTGGTAAATTTGATAAATGTTAGAGAAATCAAAGGAAAAAGAGTAAGAAGCCAGAAAAATAAGATATCAGGCTTCGGAGAAGGAGGAGAAGCCCCAAATTTCAATCTTGTAATTTTAAACAGTATAACTTTTTATTTGAAAAGTTTTTCTAGGGATCTTGCTGATCAACAAGAAAAGATGAAAAAACATGAATCATAGAAAATCGAGAGAGAAACTTAAAATCCGTCCAGTCCTATAGTCTAGATCACAATCCGACTGAGCACATAGCTCTATTGATCTGGCTTGAACAATTTTGAGGTAGACATGAGTGTTTTTGTCCACTAGAATTTTGAGTAATTTTACAACATTCCTCAATTCTAGCATTTAAACTAACAAAAGTCGAAGAAATATGAAGGTACACTTAATTGAAAATAGTTTAAGGAAGATACTCCTAATTTATTGTTTGAGCTGCACCTTAATTCTAGATTTTAAGGTTGCAACTTTATAAAAATATTTCGAGTCCAAAAAATAGTGTATCTTGGAATACATTATCTGGACAGTCAATTTTCATGATTTTCATGGGTCTATAGATGTACTTGATTGAACCATTTTTGGAATTTAAATCTTTTTAATAGAGATCAAAATAAATTCTCAAGCTATCCTAAAAAGTTTTTACACTAAAATTATATTTATGATAAAATTTGAAAGTGCACCTGAATTTGATTGTTTTAAAAGTTGCAATCTAATGCCATCTTCTATCATTAATAGAAAATATCTTTAACAAAAAAATTTGGATCAAATACTTGAATCTCATATATCAAAAGCTAAAAAATGAAGGTTTTTTCTTTCTTTTTTAAATGTTATCACCATTTTTGGATGTTTCTCACTCGTTTTGGTTTAATCTATGTAAAATTTGTCCTATTTTGGTTTTTTCTCATTGATTAAGATCCTAACAATCATTTTCAAAACAAAACTCTCGATCTCATTAATCAAAAGCTTATTGGGGCATTTCCCCCCTTTTTTCGAAACACGATTTGTCACTTTTATTTACTCGAGCTAGGATATAATGTTTCAATTTAGGTATTTTTCATAACTTCACAAAAATAACCAATATTGTCATCAATTATTTTTCATAAAACATACTAATTTGACTTTTAGAATTTTTTAAAATTTGTTTGAAATTTTTTTAGCGAAGTTGGATTGGATCATCTGACTCGGCCAAGCTAGATCGAATTGTTCCAACTCGACTTTTCGAAAGGAAAAATCCAAAGACCGGCGATCTTTTTTTCTTTTTGTTTTCAACAATAGTCGATCACATTCTTCAATAAAGTGTAAAAATAATAAATTCGTTAAAGCAAGTGATCTTTAAATTCTTTAAACAGAGTAGAAAATAAATGATCTTCTAATTCAAATTCTTTAAACAAGATTGAAATCTTCTAATTCTTTAAATAGGATTGAAAGAGCATGACCTCCAAATCTCAGTGGAAGAAGGAAAGGTAGTGGAGATCAGCCATCAAAGGAGGAAGCCAGAATTCGACACAGATGACTGGAGATGCCTCCGGTGGTGGGAATTTGGGCACGTTCGAAGGCTCGAAATTCCAGAAGATGCAGATTCTAGCAAGTTGAAAGCATCATTTGATCAAGGTATTCTAGAACTCAAGATTCCAAAGATTACCACTCCCCCTTCCTCTAACACAAACAAAGAAAACCTTAAACCTTAGATATTTACAAGTGTATCACTAGAGCTTTTGTATGCATGGTAACACCACATGGTTTACAAGTGTATCACTAGAGCTTTTGTATGCATGGTAACACCACATGGAATGATACTCCTACGGAAATATGTACAACTAAAACTTGGAGACCAAAATATATAATACAAAATTAACTGAAATACTCTTTTCCATACTATATCCATAATAAAACTGAATTGGGATTGCAGAAGATAGATAATACATGTATGAATATATCTAGAGCTACCCATATATATATATATATAAAAACTATCATAGAGACCCCCAATTTCCAAACTTTATTTTTTGTAGCCCCTCCCAACTTTCTCTTTCAAGTGCCATCATATTTCCCATAAAAGTATATACACCCAATCCCCTTCTCTTCTTTCTTCACTTTTTTCATATGAAATTTGAAATCAACAATTTCTCTTATACTACAAGTCTTTGTGTGATATAAGAGAAATTATTACTGTCAAATTTCATACAAACAAAGGGAGAAAGAAGGGGAGGAAGGGAATGAAGGGGGACATTATAGGGGAAATTTATTACCACTAAAAAAAAACGTTGTGAAATGTGTTTGGAAATTAGGGGTTCATACAACGTTTTTTTTAAACTATATGAGATCCTATTGCTAGCCATCTGATTTGAATAGATAGTTGGGATAATTTCAGACATATTGTCAGAAGTTAATTTTTTAGTGTCTAAATCTTAATTAATAGGTTCAAGGTATTACAATTTTTATTGTTATTGTATAATCATTTCATTGTGGAATTTGTGGCTTAAATATCTCTCCTAGGGATGCATCTGATATTAAGAAATATTTTTGATAAAAAATGACAAAATATCTTGGAACTAGCATGCATATATATTTTTTAATTTAATATTTCCTTTTTAATTTTTCGAGATGTACTGCAGTAAGATGAGTGCATGTCCCAAATTTCATGCATTACTTATTTGTAGGAAAATTAAAAATAGAATAGTGTTTGGAATGACATTCTGATTGAAGTTGTCCAAGTCGTATATTCAAACCAGATGCTTGGGAATAAGAATTACATATTTTTTATATGGGTGGAGCCACTGTGAAGCTTTCCCTGTATATATATAGGATTAGCAGTGTTTGCATGTCTTTGATTACCACAAATATTTGTTACACGGTATTTTTGATATGCTTGTATTCTCGGGACACATAAGGAAGGAGCCAATCGTGACTTGATCCGCAGGTACCAAAAAACACCTGTAGACCATGGGAACACTATAGAAATAAGCCCGTGATTAGCTGATCTCGGAAAAAGTGTCATATTGGCCTCAAAATGCATGAGAGAGTAGCTTTGTATGCTCTAAGGATACTCATAAAGTTTCGTCTCAATATGACAAGTTTTAAGCCAATCAGGATAAAACTCGATTTTCAATTTCAGATCCTATTAACGACGTTTCAAATGAGCACTTGACCACTGCCATTAGATCCGGAACATAAAAAACCCCTAGATACTAATTTTCGGCTTAATCAGACATTTTAAGATCGTTCTGGGTCTTACTTACTACAAATGGGTGGGTTTTACACTATTATGGTACAACCTCGGTGTCTTTCAATTTCGGGATGAATTTGTAATGGCATAACTTGCTTGTTTCAAGGCCAATTGCTCTCAAATTTAGACACGATCAAGATCTCGTTGAGCCGCCCATTTTGCCATACGGTACATCCCATGACGTTACCCGAAACATGAGACTTTTTAGAGAGATGTTGGGTTCGAAACACATGAATTTCAGATGTTTAAAGTAAAACATCTCATTATATCTTGAGATCACGATATCATATCATCGCAAATATGGATCCTTTGCGACCGTATTTATGACGGCTTTGATTTGATATAAATTTTGCTTGAGATAGGAAGATGAAATTTTGAGGTTAGAGAATGCAAGTTTTTCGGTAGCCAGAATCTCATTTTTTGGAAGCCTTCCCAATTTAGAAAAATCTTGAATGACAACCAAAGCAGATGATTTTTATCACAAAACGAAAATGACGAACTCTTCTTCAATTTGTGAAGAAAAGAAGACTCGAAACGTGACGGATCGTTCATTATCGGTGATCGAAAATTCAAAAGTTCATGAACTTAGCCGGATTTTGGGATCGGCTTCAAAACTCCGAATCAAGTCAATTAATGGACATTTTAATATTCGTGATGATGCAAGCAACAACTCTACAGTTTTTTATCATCCAAAATTTCACCAAAAAGTCCGAAAAAGCTCCCAAGGCATAGCAATGGCATGAGGCCCCTCTAAGAGGGATGGTTGTGTCATTTCGTGAAAAGTATTAAGAGACAAATTGGTCATTTTGGACAAAAACGAAATTTTATTTTTATTTATTTAATTGTATATTTTCAAGCAATTTTGATGAATTTTGAGCATCCACCCATGTTTCATGGATGCCCTATATAATCAAATCAAGTCATTTTATAATAAAAAGCTTAGAAATCAATTGAAATTTGAGAGCTATTTGCCTTTGCTTGTAGCTTCTTCCAAACTCAAGAGAAAGGAGAGAGAGAAACGTTTGCCATGAGAGAGAAAATATCTTGGAACTTCTTACTCCCAACTCCTAGGTTCCAAATCCTAAGCTTCCTACACCATAGTCCTTAGACCACTCTACACCCTAGACCACCCTATACCCTATACCCTAGACCACCCTACACCATAGACCACCCTAGACCACTCTACACCCTACACCACCCTACACTCTATACCACCTTACACTATACACCACCCCGCTCCCTACTCCATACATCCTATACCATACACCACCTTAAGCCACCTAGGTCCATTCACCTTGAGCCTAGACCCTAACCTTGACCCCTCAAGGGTTAAACCTTCTCTCTCTAAAGATCACTCGAAAAGGACCTCCATGGGTATACTCGAACCGGCCTAGGTCCATTCTCTCTCATCTCTTTTTCTTTTTTCTCTCTCTTTCTCTTGTTTCTCTCTTTTTCTCTTTCTTCTTCTACTCTCTCTCTACACGGGCCCGCAGAGGGTCTGTGTACCTGTCCCCTCTCTCTATATCTCTCTTTGTCATGGGCCCGTAATGGGCTCGTCACTCCTCTCTCTCTTTCACTCTCTCTCGCTGCTACACAGACCTATATACCTCTTCCCTCTCTCTTTCTTTCTATCTCTCTTTCACATGCCCACAACGGGTCCATCACTCTCTCTCTCTCATGCACGGATCCGCGGCGGGTCCATGATGCTCTCTCTCACTCTTCCCCCTCCTCTCTCATTCTCTCTCTCCCTCACCCGTGGCGGACCTGTGCTTTCTTCTCCCTCTCATTCTCCTCTCATTCTCCTCTCTTCTCTCTCATACCTCTCTCTCTCACACGGGCTCAGGACGGGCCCTTACTCTCTCTTCTCATTCTCATTCTCCTCTCTTCTCTCTCTCTACCCTCTTCTCCTTTCTTCCTCCACTCACCTCGCTCGGACACACAGCGGGTCCATGATCACTCCCCCTCCCTTCTTTCATACTCTTCCCCTTTAATCCCCTCTCTTACTCCAACATTTTCTCTCTTCTCCCATAACTTGGGCACTCATGCTACGGCCTTTCTGAGGTGACTTTTTAAGAGAGTTTAGCTCTCGGATCACCGTACTACCGGTGCTTTGAACTGCTTAGGTCGTGAGAGATTTTCTCCTTTTCTTTCACCTCTTGCTTCTCTTCTTTCTCCCTTCTCTTCTCTTCTTTGATAACCTTTATTAGGATATTTGAGGTAGTAACTTTATGATGGGCTAAGCCTACAACTTCACTCTTTTTAAAATCCTTTGGATACTCAAGCTTCGAGCCTAGTATCTTTTCTTGCCTTTGACCATACCTCTTAGGAGAGGTTACACGAGAAGGCTGCCCAATTTGAGTTGTTCTCTCTTCTCTTCTATCTCTTCTTCTTTTTTTTTTTTATTCTTCATTTTCTTCTTTATCTCTTCTTCTTCTTCTCTATCACTCTAATCTCTAAAGTAGAATTCCTATTCCAGACAAGAATACACATTAGGAGGAGATTACAGGAGGTAAATTCCAAGAGATATTTTTTAGTGAGAATCTTAGTGTAGTATCGACGAGTGAGGGGGCCGAATTCAAACTACGCTGTAAAGATACTTGGAGTGCTTTCGGACTGATCTAAGAAGATTAAGGCCTAGGCGCACCCCACAAACTCAACCGATTAAGTAGGTATTCGAGCACACCTATTTACCATTTTAAAATCCTCTCATTGTGGGTCAAGTGGTTGTTTGAGAGAGGTTTATCAAGTCGAGCACTTCCGGGAGCTCGAGCGACGAAAATCCGAGCCCGACCAATATTTAGTGAAAATGACTCAGATGCATGCAAAGAAAGCCTTTAACGTGATGCTTAGTGTTTCATTCTATCACAGTATTGTAAAGGACGAGAACGAGATGACGAGAATGAGATACCTTGTGCATTAAATGAAGAGTGCAATGCGTAATTGGGTCGTCATGCAAGCATGCTCATTATTAAATAATGTTGGGTAAATATAATAAATGGTGGTAACCACTTTAAGTGAAATCACCACATTTAAGATATTATGAGTGCCACATTTTAGGTTTTGTTTCACTTGATACCTTCTCAAAACATTTGTCAGAGGTTATTCAGTATCGAGAAACGAAAGCAATGTTAGTAATTTGGGCGCACTTAAATATGGCTTTGAGCCAATGCTCTTTGTTGTTCAGGGTAGTGAATCTGGAACATATATTTTATATTAAAATCTATGTTTACTAGTGGAATAAGTAGGGATATTTACGTGTTCAGGTTTAAGAGCATAGAGCCTTTTATTCCTCGTCCTGCCCCTATCAAAAGGGGTATTATTGCTATTTCTCTTTGAATAGAGGCTTGCTATTTGTTGCTATGGGTCAGAAACACGAAACTCGCCTTTTTTTTTTCGTGAAAATCCTTGTTAAGAAGGGCTATTACCATCTAGATTTAAGTGGTTGTTTTATTTATCCCTAGTTGTTTTGGGTTAGAATCAAGGAACTAACTTCTCTTTATTTTAAGCGCGTCATTTGCCTCGAGGTACTTAAGTAGGCCAAGTTAAAATCCGTACCAATATATATATATATATATATATATATATATATATATGAAAGTTCTAAAAGAAAAATGATGAATTCATTTGAATTGAAA